AAACTAAAGGCCATCTTTAAATGGAAAGTATATTGGGAACCCACCGTTAAAACTTGCCAAAAATGGTATGAGTTGCCTATTTATACATTGGATAGATTCCTTCACAAAATTTCGCACAATTTTAAACCCAAAATATATTCTGTAAATGAAACGATGCAAACACAAACCTAAATATTCAAGCAATGTGCGATAATAGTGCAGCGCAAATTATTGGTGGAGTTAACACTGTGGGATGGCATCCGAAAACAGTTGTAGATATTAAATTAATATGGTTACACAGGGTTAAAAGAAAACAAACTTCTGTTAAGGTTACAGAACCAAATTTATATCGTGTGTTCTTAAACCCAGCAAAATATGTATCTACCATGGCTAAATTCACATGGCAAATAATCTTTTGTACAGCATCATCATGTGTTCGACCGCTCGACCGAATAAACTAATATAATTACATTCTTGCTCATTGCTAAATTGCAATTGAACATTTAACGCCCCACTTTTTTTTGAAAGATTTATCGAATTAATTTAATAAAAATCACAATAAATTTTTCGCAACTCTCAATTAAATAAAACTTAGTGGGCGCTACTTATTTTACCAAAAACTTTTATTCGAAAATGCCAATACATCAGATACAGACATCATACACGAATAATAAGTCATAACCAAATTAGCATTCATTAAGTTCCAACTTATCAAAAGATAATTCATAATTCTCGAGTTCAAACGACATAATTCAAAATATCCAAATTTCAACATGAGTTCATGAACTAAGCGGAAGCATAATTAATAAGCAATAATAAAGGACATAACCACCACCCGTCTTGTCTCGTCACCCGCCAACTGCTTAACCTGCATCAGTTACGAGCAGGTGGGAGTGAGTACAGTTAAATATCGTACTCACACTATGCATATGAATAACTCAAAATATGTTAATATGGTACGGTCGCAGCATGAACATAAACAATAATAAATCATGTCTCATCTCTAGTCATATCTATGACCTTGCCCTTGCTATGGCTCACTCATGTGCACATCTACGCTCAGCCATACCATATCTATAATACGGGAGTGCGTGCCACGTAAGGACACGGTCTTATCTGAAGGACTTAAAGAGATTTACCTCATAAGGGTAACCGTATCTACGGGGACAACCGTACCGATGGCTATCGATAGGCCACATGCTCACACGCATACTTAGATCATACCGGTTTAACACATTAAAACAAATAAACACATATGCACAGTAAATTTTAGAATAACAACCCACCTGGATTCCGGATTGATAATAACTCAAAGCAACTGGAAGTGGGTCGAGGCTGGACTCCTCAGTTACCTACATTGAGTTTAGATGCTACAATCAACATCTATCTTGACTTTAAACGGAAAACACAAAACAGACCTAGTCGAACTTCTTTCGACTAAGTAGTTCGTGAAGTCCTGTGGACGTTGGAACACTGAGACTCGATACTAAACTCGACACTAAACTCGACCAACCAACATATGAGAGTTCAAATAATTCCATCTAATAATAGACCAAGCAAACTCACAACAGAACGAAAAGCAAGTCAATCACATATTTAACTTCAAAATCTTAGTTTAGAATTTCTAGCTATTAATCACATGAAATTCATTGACCAGACTGCCCTACGACCTATGCCTTGAAATTTTACACAAAATTACATCTTCCAGTAATAAGTAAAACCATAAATTTTCAGCTTTAAACTCAAAGCACATTAATTTATAAAATTCCTACAAGAAATAAGCAAAAACGCACATGAATTTATATCTGAACCTAATGAATGAATCAGGACTTGAAAATTTTACACAACAACATACAGCATGCTAAAGTCCATGTATAAAAATCTCAGCTCAGAATGTCGACCGCTACTATTTTAAAAAATTCATACGAGATTCAGAAGTTTATCAAATTTAAATCAAAATCGCATCAAAATGGACTCCAAAAATTCCCATCTTTTAACAACATGATTCAACACATAAAAATAGGCATCTCAGTAAAATTTCATAATTTTTCAATAAAGAATAGATTTTTAATAATTCATACAACTTTCAACAGAAACAGAAAACAAATTATTAACCATATCAAATTCAGTCCAAAAATTCTAAGAATTTAACACAGCAAATAAACACATCAGTGGCATAACATATTAAAATGTCAGCTCATTTGAATTACAAACCAATTTATTAAGCATTAAACAATATTCTGATCAGAATTCACTTTAATTATTAAAAATAGCTACAGGCCTCTAAAAATTACGAAATTTTTACACAAGGCTGGAAATGAACAGTTAACATATCCCTCAAAATTTCAAGTCGTTTCGAGCAGCGACCTATTTTAAAAATTTAAACACCAAAACATCGATATAAATGCTCGACAACTTGTCAATTAATTCATAACATGAAATTTCTCGTCCGAGGCCTTTTCATAAGACCAAGGTCTCGACTTTGTTCCAATATCCACCGACTTACACGACTTTCGAGGTCTCATTCAATTCTTTAGAAAATCGAAGAGGTCCCGAACATACGATAACACATAAAATCATAATAACACATAAACGCACATATTCGCATCAAGCAATTCACACATATATTACATTGTTCAACGAGCACTTCACGACAATAAACACATAACGAAATAAATCATACACGAGTTAAACGAGACGTCGCTGCAAGGTCGCCGGAGGAGAAGCTGCTCGTCGGAAAATCACGTTCGGAAGTGGTCACGTCGTCGGGCTCGCGGGCTGCTCGAAGGACGAACAAAAGTCGCCGGAACTCGCTGCAAGGGGTCGTCGGCGGTCGTGGACTGCTCACAGGAAAACGAACTCGCCGGAAAATTCAAGGAACAGAGCCGCCGGAGGTCACCTTGCGAGTTGCTGCTCGCCGGCGAGGAGAAGATGGCGATGCGATGGTGACAGCGATGATGATGGGGGACTTAGCGACGAGGATGATGGAGGGACGACGAGGGTGATGATTGCTGGAAAAACCCTATAAAAAAAAAAAAAAAAAAAAAAAAAAAAAAAAACAAAAGGAGAGGATCGATGATGATGGTGATGGTCGATTTTGAAAGAAACGGAAGAAAATTACGTGAGAGGGAGATGAGTTTCCTCTGTTGATCGATCGAGATAGGAACTCAAGGCTGCGGGTGTGGGATTTTTATCCCAAAGAAAAACGATGCCGACATATATAATTGCTATTAGGTTAAGTTAATTAGAGAAGGTCTTGATGCCCAAGACATAAGTCTCACGCGTGAAAAATAAAGAGGGAGAAAATCTGTCGGGCCGGGCCCAACTCGGGTCGCGGGCTAATGTGGGCCGGGCCGCCGGTTCAACACATACGGTTCTCTCGGGCTCAAACTTTCGGTTTAAATTTGCCAAAATAAAATGGCTGGATTCGCGCGATTATTTAAAATAAAATTTACGGCTATTATAATAAAATATATTTCACATATTATTTATAATAATAATACACATTAAACATTTATTTCACAATTAGGCATTTAGATAGAATAATAATAACAATAATAAAAATAATAATAATAAGGACAATAATATTAATAAAAAAAAAATCCCAAATATTCCATAAACAAACGGGGCGCTACAGTCTACCCACCTTACAAAGAATTCCGACCTCGGAATTCGAAAAAAACAAACCACTGACATGATACTAACAAGAAAAAGAGGGGAAAACATCAACATATGAAATACGGGTATCTCTTCTGAATTTCGGTCCCCCTCCTCCCAAGTCGCCTTGTCTCGACAACCACCACTGGACTTTGACGTGTACCCCTCCCGGCCTTTTTCTAAAAGTCACCGGTACCTCCAAATAGGTAGGGTTCTGCCTAACACGCAGCTCGTCACAACTTACATGTACTCCGAGATCACGCACACGTTTCCTCCATCAAGAGGCACAGAACGTGTCATGCATCCTCGCGAGTTCCGGTGGTGGAGTCAACCATCAGGCTAAAACATCGACTTGGTCAGGAATCAAAATAGGGTTGCGTACTCGTGGCAGTAACCAAAACAACGGTATACTCCACCTCTATCCGTACCAGCCACTTCGCATGGTACCATCAGGGTTGTTGCTAGTTAGCCATCGATACCAGCGTACCTCCCCATGGTAAGGTATTCTCACACTCTACTCATCTATCAATACACAAGACCCTAACCGGTCCTTTTGTGACTCGATAGCATACTCCAACAAAATCAACATATATGGTTGACTTGTTGTATCGAGCTTCCATCTTGTGCCCGGGTCACGGTAGAAAACTCGATTACTACGCTGACATGATCCGTGCGTCCTTATAAAACGGGCTGCCACGGAAAATCCCATACGAATGGGCTAACAATCCACAATAACACTATATCTACAACACCGATACCTACAGAACACACGGCTCTGTTTGATACCGTTGTCAACAACTCTACCCTTGCCGACTCGAATAACACCTCGAATGCGGTTTAGAAAATATCGACTAGATGTTCGAAAACAATCTCCTATCGCAGAATCGGTCTCACGATTAGGGATGCTCGATATTCCCATACTAACGAGCTAACACCAATACTCTCTTCCTCTTCGTAGGTCTCGATCCCTACGAAGTATACATAGCCTCCAATCGAGACTCGGGACACTGCCCGAAAACGATGAGGGACCTAAATCTCGCTATCACGAGAGAATTTCGCATAAGACAAAGGAAAACTAATCGACAAGTCTCACATATTGAGAGTCGTTGATTAGGGATTCCATACAACGATTCGGTTTGGAGTTTAAGGAACTGTCACCCGAGAGATGACACACACACAGGCGCTGCACGGGGCGCCAGGACGTTTGCATGCACCTGTCCAGGGACCAGCTGCAAGATCAAGGTTTGGCCATACACACTGCCTAGGGAGTTCCTGCGTTCGGCGGCGGCAGCTCTCGTGCGAGTCAACGGTCGGCCACTGCAGTTGGCCTCACGTCTCTCAGCACGGGCGTGCGGGCTCGGCCACCACTTCGCGTGGCTACACCCATCCAGGTTCGGCGTTCGGTTAAGACACACACCAAAAATTTCTATTTCCGAGTCCAAAGATTCCTAGATACTCTGATAGGAAAAAGGTTTCCTTACAATACTTCTCAAAATACAACAGTTTAAGCATTACTGTTGAGCTACAGTTTCCCATAGGAATCGAACATTGGCATCACTCCCGGGAAATATTCTAACCTCGGCGGTCATCGCCGAACATTAGAATGGTTAGCTCGCTTGACCCTTCCGACTAATAATGTCGGCTGTCACGACAGCATTTACTCAAATAGCTAATCGTGCCGGCGGTCCTAAACGAGATCGACCACATATACAACTATAGCCTCCACACTTCGAGGTCTAGCGTAAAGCTTCCCTCGCAAGTATTTTAAGCTAACATCATAATACCAATCAGATTAAGTCACATAGGGCACATAAACATGAAAGTTGACGAAAAGCTAATTTTTGAAAATTCACAATTCATTTTGGAACCGAAACATGAACTAGCACCAATTTTCAGCATGCATGTTGAATTTAAAATGCATATAGTTTCCAATTTACAGATCATATCATGATGAAACGACTTGGAAAATATCCCTAACTCATGCCTCTATCACTTTCATGAAGAACATTCAGGCGGATAAAGTCATTTAAAGGCACATAATACAGCAAACATCCAAAACATGGGTGCAGTGAATAAATAAAGATATGCAGCTTGACAGGTTCTCAGTGTATGCAGAATAACCGAAGCTACAGACATGATATTATTGAAATTCAAAAACCCCAAGGTAGCTAATTCAATTCTCTACAACTTCTTTGAAGACCCCATTGGCAAATTATAACATTATCAACAAGTTTGAATATAAAACATTTAGTTTGCAAAAACAGCCAGAGAACAATTTTTCGAAAATACAGCACCTTAGTAAAATAGCAACAACTCAAGCTACACGGCTCCAATTCATACAAACTCAAAACCTATATAACCTACACATGGAAATATACAAAGTTTATGAAGAAGACTGTTTCATAAGAACACGTTTCAGTCACCTAAACAGAGTACATATTCAACACTTAAACAAAATCCTGGTTTCATAAAAAAAACTGGGTGTACATCCCACTTAGAAAAATTATATAAAATCAACTGGAACTCCAAATCATATAAACCCAAAACTTGCAGAAACTACACAAGGAAAGCTACAAAATTCATGAAGAGAATGTTTACCTATCATCACGTTAAAGGCATCAATTCAGAGCATACATTTCATGCATACACACAACCACTGTTTCAAAATCCTGGGCATAAATCCAACTTAGAAAAATCATATAAAATCAACCAAAATTCCAAATTGCATAATTCCAATCCCTACGGGCAGCTTATATCATATACTACATTTGCCGTGAAGAACACATTTCCATTCAGGCATGTTAAGATCATCATAAATAGCCATGAACTAAAATCAAATTCTTCTGCCCGAGTTTATCAAAACAACATGCTCGACGAACTTTGAAAAATCATAACAAATTCATTTTAACCCCAAATCACAAAATTTCATAACTCACTGAAACCTAACTCAAAGCACTACAAGTCCCAAGAAGAACACTTGTCCAAGAAACAACTTCTTTGTCGGCAAAAACAGAGCACAACTGAGGCTCAAAATTTGGGTTTTCATGCCTTCATCAACTCAAAATGATCACATTCGATATATCATAAAACACGTTATCCGAGGTCCAACTCGGTCTTATTAAACAAGATAGAAAAATAAAGTCTTATGCCTTTCACTTGAATTATTACATCTTTTGGTTTGATAATATATAACAAATCACATTAATATATAAATTCAACCTCAATCATCGAAGATTACATATGCATCACATGAACCCAACCAAACCTATCATGATATAACTGAGACTCTCAATAAATAAAACTTAGTGGGCGCTACTTATTTTACCAAAAACTTTTATTCGAAAATGCCAATACATCAGATACAGACATCATACACGAATAATAAGTCATAACCAAACTAGCATTCATTAAGTTCCAACTTATCAAAAGATAATTCATAATTCTCGAGTTCAAACGACATAATTCAAAATATCCAAATTTCAACATGAGTTCATGAACTAAGCGGAAGCATAATTAATAAGCAATAATAAAGGACATAACCACCACCCGTCTTGTCTCGTCACCCGCCAACTGCTTAACCTGCATCAGTTACGAGCAGGTGGGAGTGAGTACAGTTAAATATCGTACTCACACTATGCATATGAATAACTCAAAATATGTTAATATGGTATGGTCACAGCATGAACATAAACAATAATAAATCATGTCTCATCTCTAGTCATATATATGACCTTGCCATCGCTATGGCTCACTCATGTGCACATCTACGCTCAGCCGTACCATATCTATAATACGGGAGTGCGTGCCACGTAAGGACACGGCCTTATCTGAAGGACTTAAAGAGATTTACCTCATAAGGGTAACCGTATCTACGGGGACAACCGTACCGATGGCTATCGATAGGCCACATGCTCACACGCATACTTAGACCATACCGGTTTAACACATTAAAACAAATAAACACATATGCACAGTAAATTTTAGAATAACAACCCACCTGGATTCCGGATTAATAATAACTCAAAGCAACTGGAAGTAGGTCGAGGCTGGACTCCTCAGTTACCTACATTGAGTCAAGATGCTACAATCAACATCTATCTTGACTTTAAACGGAAAACACAAAACAGACCTAGTCGAACTTGTTTCGACTAAGTAGTTCGTGAAGTCCTGTGGACGTTAACACTAAGACTCGATACTAAACTCGACACTAACAAGACCAGACAGTCTCCCTACAGGGCCTTCTCCTTCCCTCAAATTGGATCAGTGATCGATTTCTAGGTTTCGTCTAGAGAAAGGAAATAAGCCGATGCGAGTCTAATCCCAAGAGCAGCTGACCTAATGGAAAGAAGAGCAGTCAAACTCGACCAACCAACATATGAGAGTTCAAATAATTCCATCTAATAATAAACCAAGTCAAACTCACAACAGAACGAAAAGCAAGTCAATCACAGATTTAACTTCAAAATCTTAGTTTAGAATTTCTAGCTATTAATCACATGAAATTCATTGACCAGACTGCCCTACGACTTATGCCTTGAAATTTTACACAAAATTACATCTTCCAGTAATAAGTAAAACCATAAATTTTCAGCTTTAAACTCAAAGCACATTAATTTATAAAATTCCTACAAGAAATAAGCAAAAACGCACATGAATTTATATCTGAACCTAATGAATGAATCAGGACTTGAAAATTTTACACAACAACATACAGCATGCTAAAGTCCATGTATAAAAATCTCAGCTCAGAATGTCGACTGCTACTATTTTTTAAAATTCATACGAGATTCAGCAGTTTATCGAATTTAAATCAAAACCGCATCAAAATGGACTCCAAAAATTCCCATCTTTTAACAACATGATTCAACACATAAAAATAGGCATCTCAGTAAAATTTCATAATTTTTCAATAAAGAATAGATTTTTAATAATTCATACAACTTTCAACAGAAACAGAAAACAAATCATTAACCATATCAAATTCAGTCCAAAAATTCTAAGAATTTAACACAGCAAATAAACACATCAGTGGCATAACATATTAAAATGTCAGCTCATTTGAATCACAAACCAATTTATTAAACATTAAACAATATTCTGATCAGTATTCACTTTAATTATTAAAAATAGCTACAGACCTCTAAAAATTACGAAATTTTTACACAAAGCTGGAAATGAACAGTTAACATATCCCTCAAAATTTCAAGTCGTTTCAAGCAGCGACCTATTTTTAAAAATTTAAACACCAAAACAGCGATATAAATGCTCGACAACTTGTCAATTAATTCATAACATGAAATTTCTCGTCCGAGGCCTTTTCATAAGACCAAGGTCTCGACTTTGTTCCAATATCCACCAACTTACACGACTTTCGAGTCTCATTTGATTCTTTAAAAAATCGAAGAGGTCCCGAACATACGATAACACATAAAATCATAATAACACATAAACGCACATATTCGCATCAAGCAATTCACACATATATTACATTGTTCAACGAGCACTTCACGACAATAAACACATAACGAAATAAATCATACACGAGTTAAACGAGACGGAAAAACGACGAGGTACCGTTCTCGGGAAAAACGCGGAAAAAGAAACGAACACGAACAGGGCTCGACGGATTCTCGCGTCTTGCCGGAAGGAGAAGATGCTGCAGCGGCCTCGAGAGGGGATGGGTCGCTGCTGCTAGATCGCCGGACGTCGCTGCAAGGTCGCCGGAGGAGAAGCTGCTCGTCGGAAAATCACGTTCGGAAGTGGTCACGTCGTCGGGCTCGCGGGCTGCTCGAAGGACGAACAAAAGTCGCCGGAACTCGCTGCAAGGGGTCGTCAGCAGTCGTGGACTGCTCACAGGAAAACGAACTCGCCGGAAAATTCAAGGAACAGAGCCGCCAGAGGTCACCTTGCGAGTTGCTGCTCGCCGACGAGGAGAAGATGGCGATGCAACAAAAGGAGAGGATCGATGATGATGGTGATGGTCGATTTTGAAAGAAACGGAAGAAAATCACGCGAGAGGGAGATGAGTTTCCTCTGCTGATCGATCGAGATAGGAACTCAAGGCTGCGGGTGTGAGATTTTTATCCCAAAGAAAAACGATGCCGACATATATAATTGCTACTAGATTAAGTTAATTAGAGAAGGTCTTGATGCCCAAGACATAAGTCTCACGCGTGAAAAATAAAGAGGGAGAAAAATATGTCGGGCCGGGCCCAACTCGGGTCGCGGGCTAATGTGGGCCGGGCCGCCGGTTCAACACATACGGTTCTCTCGGGCTCAAACTTTCAGTTTAATTTGCCAAAATAAAATGGCTGGATTCGCGCGATTATTTAAAATAAAATTTACGGCTATTATAATAAAATATATTTCACATATTATTTATAATAATAATACACATTAAACATTTATTTCACAATTAGGCATTTAGATAGAATAATAATAACAATAATAAAAATAATAATAATAAGAACAATAATATTAATAAAAAAAAATCTCAAATATTCCATAAACGAACGGGGCGCTACAAAACACTTGCACACAAATTAAAGTAAAAGGAAAAAGAACATTGTCAACTGCTGGGCTGAAAAAGGTTTGTTTGTATGGTTTGTGAATGTTATATTCTACTTCTGTATGTTATAATGAAAACGAATACTTCAAATTAGTGATTCTACCTTTAAATACACACTGTTACAACTTATTCAGCAAAAACTATAAACAATTAGATACAAAATTGTACCAGTACCAGCTTACTTTTCACTTCTGATGCAATAAATTACTTCTGCTAAATAACCGCTTCTAGATTACCCTGAAACACAAAAGATGTCAAAAAGAGCACAAAAACGAAATGGAGCATTCACAGGTTTTAGAAATTAATTTGTGTCCCGAGAAAGAAAATGAAAATGTATACTCAAAAAAACAAACAAATTGTTCTCCAGGTGTAAAGCAAACTATACCGGTGACTATTTAGTATACATATCTTAGTATCATGTAATAAACAAGATAAGCACCCAACTAACGAGACTTCAAATATCTCAAGTACAATCCTGGATTAGGCCACAACGAAGAACAAGTAAATTTAACTATACAGACAGTTGCAGAAACTGGATTTATACTCAAAACTCAAAGTGCATGGACCTCGAACCAATAAGACAGAAAATTTATCATGAAATTACCTAAAACAGTGTTTCAATTAGAATGATTGGTTGATAGTTAAAAGAAAACGACGACAAAACGAGGCACTGCATACCAAGATTCTAAAATTTGAAACCACACTGTTTTGCCTAGTTCATCTATTGTGGAAAAAGTCCATCCTAAGAAGTAGCTATTTGAAATCTATTCTTTTATCTATTGTTATATATTAAACTATACATTCGCTTTCTCTCCCTCACGCTACACGCACATTTCACAAACACAATAATGCATGCTACATGCAATTACTACAACACCAACAAACACACACTGCATATGTTTCACATAATTCACGAATTATACACTATACACATTCTCACTGGACAATCACACACAGCACGAACAAAACAGTGCATATTGAGAGTTCCCGGTTTGCGATTTAGGTCCTGTAAAGTGTAAAATCTGAACTTACAAATGTCTTGCACCAGAAAAATAAAAATAAAAATGAACTGCATCACGCATAATCTTTTATTAACCAGGAAAAATATGAAGAACAACATAAAAAGAAATGACAAGCATTCACAACCAAGATCCGTTATTATGAATAATAAGAAAATATTGAAACGAGAACTACTGAGAAAGGGGAAAGGAACCTTGTATCAAGGATGAAAGGAAATTACTTTACCAACCCATAAACCACTGCTGAATACTTCACATTTTCATATAGAGCACACGGCTATATAGCTACAAAGACTAAGTAGCTACTAATATTACGTGGAGCAAAAGTGAAAAATCCAAGCGCACATAGATCTGAACATCTCAAACTGCCTTTTCTGTTACTATCAAAAAGTAGTCCATTGTGGCAAATAGAACAAGCCTTAAATACATCATCACACCAAGCAAGAATATTATGACATTCTAAGAAAATAAAAGCACGACTAGTAGTTGACATTCCATTTTTATTGACAGACACAAAAGTATCCTGCTTTCTCAAAGTAATTAAATGAACATAAATTGGAATTCTCTTACCATATGTCTGCAAGGAAGCAAAGCTGTATCCTTTGGCTCAGTTAAGCAAATCACGCAGTCTTCTCCACAATAACTGCCCGATTACCTTCGCAGTGAAATGCCAGTCATTATTTTTTATCACAGCCACCTGAGTTATCTGCATCTGAGGTGATATATGTGCCAGAATATAGTTTCTGTCGTCAAACATCTACTGGCTTGATGACGTGTCAGCAGTTATTACTATGGGAAACACATAGTGTCTGGACAATGGACTTGAAAGATCATACAAGGGGAAATTACACAGATCGATACCTGTTCCTAAGGACTGTCTAAATTCCTGGTGAAGGCCCTTTCTGAAAGGAACTTTTATGGGAACATAAGTTTCAGGAAATAATGAAACAAATTGGCGCTGGGCTTCATCCTTGGCGAAATAACAGATTGTGATGCTGTAGATCAGACAAGATAAAATAATCATTAAAATATAAAATTTGTCAACCCCTAAAAATAACATGGTAGCAAGCAGTCTGGGATAGTTCCAGTTACAAATCATCACATTAAATAATAGTACTTGACATCGGATAAAATGCTGACTACCATAACCGCATATTTGAGAAAACAAATTATGTCAGATAGATATGATATGTGCGCAACTTATAGAAAGTTTACTAAAGATGATAATACATAAGGACCATAATCGAAAATTTGATTAGTTAAAAGGAAGTATAAATTGGACAGAGGCAAAGAGGAGAGGCTCAATTGAGCATTGCTAGAAAATAAACTAGTCCACTTCTTCCGATTAGTGAGAAGGAAAAAATGTGCAACGATAACAAAAACAATTTGATCAACAATGTACATCAGCTTGGCGATTTTAAATTTATAAACAAGAATACCATTGCATTAACAATTATAAGCTCCGGTAGAAAGAGAGGAAGTGTTATGACGCTATAATCCCTCAATCCCCAATGGAAGTTAGAGGAGTTCAACTGGGCATATGTATGGTGAATCCAAATAAACACCAGAACTTTTCCTTCCAGTTTGTAATAAGAAAGATCAATGTAATAAGAAACACATTTTATACAAAAAATCAAGAAATAAAATCTCACATCTTTCCCCCACCCAGTAAAAAGAAAGAAAAAAAGGAGACACAAACACACACACAACATCACCATGACCAAATAATGCATCAGATATATGAGATGCTGAGATATCGGCAAAAAATTTGAAAATATTGATGCATTAGAGATAAAATGCAGTTACTTCTTTCCAGAAGAAGCACGCTAAATTAAATTTTCACATGCCAGGTTCTACTTCACTTTCCACATTGTATCGAAGGGTTGTAATGGATGGCACGATACGAAACATGAATACAACATGATTGGAAAAACGATTACAACGACAAATGAAACGATAAGACACGACACATGGCACAACCCAGAACACGGCATGAAGAACATGGCACGATACGAAACATGAATCCCTTTTTGTTTTGAGCCCTTTTTGTGTTTCTCTTACCATTGGTTCTCTTGGCTTTCATCTCTAGCCTACCCCAACTTGCTTGGGACTAAAAGGCTATGTTGTTGTTGTTAAAATTACTATCATGTCTATGAACAAATAATATAGACAAATAAAAGCATAATATAGATAAATAAAAGCATGATAGTAAAAGCATAAATAAAAGGGATTCAACAAAGAATAGAGGTAATCTAGAACTAGAAGAAGGACAATAGCATGAAAAGGAGAGTTTCTAACTCCATGTGTTTTTTCTAAATTTTTAAGTAATAATACATTCATCCATGGACATCTATTTGGAATGCAGAACTGTGGCAACTAAAATTTAATTTAGTACATTATTTTACATTTGGCTTTCCACCAAATGTTTTATATTTTGTATTGTCGCCTAAATTTTCAGTCCTTGGTAATTAATGGCACTGTGTAACTTCAACTTTGAAGTAAATCACTAATACATGCTCAAGTTTGTATAGTTACCGATGAACTAGCCAGATCTGGAAGAACTTCCAATGCATTACTGACTAATAAATAACTTCTATGTGGTAATGAAACATCCTCATGATAACACACTATCGTACCTTTTTAAACTCAAAAATTTTGATAAGAAAATGAACAAAGATCCGGCAAACACTATAAGGATATAGAGCAAAGTACACGATGAAATTCGGTTGTTTTAATACTGAAGTATTTATGAGGGAAACATAATTACCAGTACCCTCCGAGCTTCCTACTTCTAACTCATGATTCAATATCGAGAACACAGCCAACCGTAAACACAAACCAAACACCTATTCTCATTATTGTTACTTCTAGGTGATGTCATAAAAGCATTGGCATGTAACAAAACAATAGTAACCAAATTCATGTGTGCGCCATTTTGTCACAATACAAAATTCCGCAAATACCCGAATAACAATCCCATAACCCATAGATTAAGATGCTAGTCCTTTTGAGAGCCCATAGACAGTCGCCAATGTCCACACTAATATCAAGTTGTCTATTTTGTGCTTGAGCATAAATCATATAACCAATTTATATCTTATCTAAACGTATAAAATCATAATCATAGTTGCTTCTTGTAGATAAGGTGCATTGTTTTGTTTGTATACCTAACACCAAGTTATCATCATTTTCCACAAAAAACACAACACGTTTTTGATAAAAAGGTTTTATTTCCACCAAATTGTGACTTATATTTTAAGTAATGTGTTTCACCTGTAAGTAGTGCAGTTGTGGGCAGTAATATTAACTATCAATGAATAATAACATAGTCATATCAACTCAAACCATATAGGAACGGCAAATAGCCTAGTGAAATCATAATCAGAACATAAAATAAAAGACTTCACGATTCTTCATCTCCTTCTTTTGTAAGCACATAATCATCAGATACAAATCATTATTTAAGGGCCTATCCAGCCACCTCCGCCAAAAGGACACCACTCAACTAAAATAACAGTTTACAAGTAGCAAGCGTTCGGCAAAGTTGATTTCTATATCCGTTGATTCATCTAGTAAAGTTATCCCGTTGCGGAAAATGCACTGAACACTGCCATACAATCTACATTACAATCAATCAACCAGGTAGATATATATAATTACAATACAAAGTCAACATCACATAATTAATAACTTAAGGTACTCACGCCACATTCACTTGAGAATGCAACTAACAACTAGACCGCGGAGCAGTATAACTATGCACGTTATGATTTGATCAAAATTACATAAATGCATAATCAATAAAAACAGAGAAATTTGCACAAGCACGCAGAATAAATAAACGAACATATAAAATTGATTCAGTAAGCTTTACCATCCGTCCACCAAAGCATCAAACACAAACGAAACCAGGTATTGATCCGGGTTCAGCTCATCAACCTCGAGCCTCAAGGTATCCTTATGCACATTCACGTCGCTATGCACACCTTTTGCCGCCTTCTGCTCGCCGCAGGGCGGCGCCGGCCCCGCCGCCGCCACTCCAGGCTGCGGCAGCTCAAATGAGCCACCGAAATAGGTCTGTCCCACAAAAGGATTAGGGTGATTGCAGACAGTGTAGGCGTTAGAAGTGTGGTATGTGACTTGTGAGGTAAGACGCGAGTGGCGGAGAATAGGGATGCGCAGGATATGGGTGAGGGTGCGCAGGATCCATCGCCGGGTGGGGCTGGAGTGGTGACGGGTGAGGGTGGGTCGGGGCTCGTCGTCGGGCGATGATGCTGAGAGAGATGCCCATTTTCTACTGGTTGTGTTTTGGGAGAGGCGGCCTTGTGAATTAATGGATTAATGGCATAATTGGTATAGTGGAATAAAATTTAGTAGTAATGAAACAAATAATGGAATTATTATAGAAAATAAATAAAATAAGTTTAGTCATTGATTATTTAATATGCAGAAGCAATAAGCTCGGAATAGATCATTTATCACTATCTTTTTAGAAAAAAATAATATAATGTTATTTTTTATTTATAATAATAATAACAAAATTATTTTTTTAAATATAATATACTATATTTTAATAAATATATTTTTGTATTGCTACACTCATATTATATAATAAATAAGTGAATTATATATTTATATATGTATTAACTAATGCAAAAAGATAATTACATAAACCCTTCTAAGAATATATGTTCGAATATACATTTTTATAATATAATTCAATTTATGAATAAATATATAATATATATGATTATATAAAAATATAATAAAATTTTTCTAAAATATTTATAAATACATTGTTTGTGAGTTTTATTTTTATATATGTATTTAATATATCAAAATAAAATATGAACATGAAATAAAAATATTTAAAATTTATTTTGAAATTTATTTTTTAAAATGATTTTGTTTAATATAATTTAATAATGATGTATAGTATATATTAAATATTTGTTTATTATTATTATTAATTGATTTTATTTTTTAAAAAAATTATTCTTAAAGATATTGGAATGAAAAAATCATGCATTAGATATAGAATGGTTAATCTCGTGGAGATGAGTTTTGCAGTTACTATTGGAATTGTCATTCATTTTTAAAAAATATACTAATCATAAAATTAAGAATAAGTAAGAGAATGACCATTCATTCTTATGTCTTTCTCTCATACTAATTATGTCATAATTAGTAAGAGGGTTTTGTTTATAAATTTTTTTAATTCATACTCAAAATCTAACTCAACTTTAATTCAATTCTGCTATCCTCAATATTGTCAATATAATTAAAATAATATGAAACAATCATTCTTACACATCACATCAATTTTAATGCACTATTCGTCTGCTCACATAATTTTAATTAATCATCACTTCACGTCATATCTCATATGTTTATATCACATCAACTTTAAGTATTTAATTTTAAATGTTATTTTAATATAAACTTAAAATCCCACTAAGATCGTCTTTATTGTGACCTTCTTTATGGGTCGGCCGAATAAGCACTATTTGGCTGCTCATCCTAGATTAGTAATGGTTTTCTAAACAATTTACCTTTTCATTATTGTTGCCTCAGCATACATGAAAATATAATTTACTTTTTTTTTTTTCTAAATTACTTTACAGCATACACGAATCAATGTGTAGTTAAGTTAGTATTTAGATCGCTTGTTTGTGGATTAACTAATGAAAGCAAAATTCTTTTTCTCTCTCTAAAAACTTGTTTAGCGCCAATTCAAAAACCTAGCCGACCTTAGCACTCATCGGAGCATCCCTTCCTCCGGCAAACCGCCCTCGCTGCTCTGATTTGGCTCTTAGGTTGTAGTCACGTCTCCTTGCAGGTCGTCTGCCCCTCCCGCTACGGTGTTTTGTCTCTTTCCCAGTTGGTCGTGGGTGATGTTCGGGGTTGGTGGTTTGCAGGTGATTGTGTCAAGGCGGGCTCCGGCCATCATGCGACGATGGCTGTGGTCGAGAAAAGCTTTTAATTTTGACCTTCATTCCTCTTCTCGTCTTGGAGCTGGGCTTGGAGGGGTCCCCAAGTGGCGGCTCCTGGCGCGGGTTATGTGGGTTCGTGGCCTTCAGGGTGGGCTGGGGGTGGAGTTAATCGCGAGTCTACAGGGGTTGTACCGATGGTGGCCACTCGGTAGGTCATTGATCCGGTTAGATGGGTTTCAGTGCCGGGGGCTCTCTTGGATCTTGAATCGAGTGTTGCAGATGCGGAGTGCGCTCGGGGGGAAGAGAGGGCTGTAGTTTTCTTTGTTTTTCTTCCTCTGTTTCATGTTTGTGTGTTTGTGTGATGTAGGTTTTTTGGTTTTCTGTTTCTCTTCTGTGAGTATGTTTCTCTTGTTGGGAGCATGTTCTCTCCACTTGTGGGAGCGTGTCTTTCTCCACTTGTGGGAGTTGTACTTTTGTTTGTGGGGTGTGTTGTTCTATATTTTTAGTGTAGACTTTAGGTGACCCTCAAGTTAGGCCTTTCACTAGACTCGGGTTTATAGCTGATGTTTTCAGCTGTTTGGTTGGTTCTAGATGTAATTATGTGTTTTTTAATATAATTTCTATCATTCCGAAAAAGAAAAATACAGTAAAGTTAATTTTATGATTAAAGTTCTGTTTCACCATATGATTATTGTTTATATTATGCACTCCGATGATTTGAAGGGGAAAAAAAGACTGGTAATTTGAAACACATACCAAACTTGATAATGCATGTATATAGTTTTATTCAATTTGCAATAACAAAAGAGCATAAAACGATCCGCCTAACGCTTAACCAATTTAAATAAATTATGCTTTTTAGTTTTACTTTGTTTAATGGTTTACGGCAACCTCATTCAAAGTTTCAAACAAATAGAATGATTTACGACAACCTCATTCAAAGAGATAGGTAAGGCCGTCGACCAAAGGCAAAAGCATAAAATGGTAGTACACTCGTGTTTAAATAGGGAGAAATGAAATATTTTATAAGAAATATTTTATAAGGATCCAGTTAGGGGCAGGTCAACATGTTGAGCCACTTTATAATTTCAATGTGGTTCAATATGCAGAAACCGGAGGACTTGTGGAAAAAACATTCAAAAGTTGTGCGTCCAAAGTCCCGCAGAAAACAGGACGATTTTATTTGTAAATTTGTGAACTCTTTAGTACTTTTCTTGTGCAATGATTTTTAGAACTTGTTCGTTTACAATTGTGGATAAAGATTTGGATAATATTGTATTTGATTGTTTGCAACAAAAATTACAGTTGTATAAAATTTAATATTAGTAGTTAAAAAAATATTGATAAGTTACAATAGTAATTTGAATGTACAACCAATTTAACCTCCATTATAGACTAAATTTGAGTCCTCTAACCTTTTTTTATAGAAAGAACAAAAAAAAATCTAATATTAATTTTACATAAAAGGTTTAATGCACATATTTCTATTTTGTTCTTTTTTTTAAGCAAAAAAAAAAAAAAATCATTTTATATACTAGAATTTCAATTTCAGTTGTAGTGAAATTGAAAATTTCGCTGAACGCTCCGATTTAACCCCTCTCCAGCTCAAGTGTTCGTCCGCCGGCGGATTCTAGGGTTTCAAAATCAGTCGCCGGCTTCCGTCGTGAAGCTTTAACAACCGGCGCAACTAAATTCTCCCCCCGCCGTACAAATCAACCATGCCGCTCAATTTTCAGGCGCTACTCCGTTCAGTTCTCTCTCGGCCGCGCCCTAATCAGCGCCTCGCGAATTTCAGCAGCCTTCAAACCGCCGAACCCACCAAATATCCGCCGGAAAAAGGCCTCGTCGTCTCCTTCCTGATCAACTCTTGTGGCCTGTCGCCGAAGGACGCCGTTGCTGCCTCCAAGAGAGTGCATTTCGACTCGCCCGACAAGCCCAACAACTTTCTGGGTGTTCTCCAAAAACAAGGTTTCACAGAGCCCCAGATCTCCCGTATCGTGAGGGGCCACCCCAATTTACTCACGTTGAACCCAGAAAAGTGCATTCTGCCAAAGATCCAATTTTTCCGGCGGTCGTTGGTCGGCGTTTCTGAGAAGGACGTGCTCGACACCGTCTCGAGATTCCCTTGCTTCTTGGCCTCAAGCTTGAAGCACAAGCTCGAGCCCAATCTCGATTACCTCAAGAATCTTGTCGGGCCCGAAACAACCGAAACCCTCTTCCGGAAGGGATCCCGGGCTCTGTCCAGGTTCAACCTCACGAGCAAAGTCATCCCAAACATGAACCACCTGCAGGAGATTGGGGTCCCTCCGGCCTTCCTCGAGCTTTCGTTGTTTCAGTGCATTGGGATATTTTCCCTGAAATCCAATGAATTCAAGAAGCTGGCGCAGAACGTGAGTGAAATGGGTTTCGACCCATCAAAATCGATGTTTGTTCTGGCAATGAACGCTCTCTCAGGGAAGACTCGTTTGTCTCTGTGGAACAAGTGTTATCAAGTTTATCAGAAATGGGGTTGGTCGAGGGATGACATATTGTCTGCATTCTTAAAGCATCCAAATTGCATGCTCTGTTCGGAGAAGAAGATCACGGCTATCTTGGAATTTGTGGTTCGGGAACTGGGTCGGGAGGCGAGGGTAGTTGCTAGGTGCCCGAGCATTATTTTTTACAGTATGGAGAAGAGGATAGTCCCAAGGTGCACTCTCGTTCGTGACTTAGCTTCCAAGGGGTTGGTCAAGGAAGATTGGGCATTGACGAGTGTGCTTCGCCTTACGGAGGAAGATTTCATGAGGAAGTACGTGGTTCGGTTTGCACAGGAAGCACAGTGGCCTTGCGGAACCTATGCGTTAAAGGAAAAAAACCTTGCGTTTTTCAAACTCATGTCTTAGCGGTTGATTGCTGTTGGGAGAGGTAATTTTGATGGGGTATTGTTTGAATTGTGGCATCTTTTGAGCAAGAACGGGTAGCTAGTTTTCATTATAAGTGAAGCTATAAGAAAACTTTTGACTTGACATAATAATACAATTACATTGGGAGTAAAAAAGTTGAGAAAACTTTGGACAACACAATCATAATAATACAATTACATTGAGGGTAAAAAAGTTATTCATATGTAGATATTTCATATCACTCTCCTTATGGTAAAAATCCAAAGGCTACATACAATTGGACATTGTTCATTGATGTAATACAATGTGTAGTACAAGTTTATATACTATTTCTGGAAAGCACAATTGCATTAAATGTTTAATGATTGCGGCGTGAATCTCCGTGTAGATGGACAGTTCTATGTGTGATGTGTGTCTCGACAACTGGGTGAATAAACATCTTGTCAGCTATCTTGAACTCGCACAAGTGGTAATTTATTCTCCAGAATTGAATCAGGCTTTTCATGCTTTGCTCGACGTTCCCCACTGAAGATGGATAAATCTCATCTGGTATCCAGTGTAAATGTGTGGCTCTGAAGGTTTAATATGATCTTGATTTTCGGACAAGTGTCGTGTAGATGGTGCACGCTTCAGCCTTAATGTCAACACGTATTTTTCCCTTCAGATTGTGTTTTCTGTTGGCAGAAAAATTACCAACAACAAGCAATATGACAACTGCAAAATTCATTGGGAATCCTTTGGTACACTTGATTGCGAACAGATTTTTAATTAGTAAAGCTGAGATTTGATCATCTCATTCTAATCAAGTTGAAAGGTAGCATGTGAGTGGAGTAATGAATAGTATCATCTTCAAATTCATCTGATCACTTGTCTTTTCACCAATGCTTCTTTGTATATCTCATTCAATAATGAACTTAAGGCAAGTTTCATGGTGGTTTTTGATGGCTATTTTGATGTACGAGTACCGACGTCCTAAGTTGCCCTAGGTGGGTCATGAATTTGGAATTTTGTTTAGTTAGAATCTGGATGTGGACTTTTGTTTTATGTTAAACAAAGCGAATTAAATAGATCATTAATTTGGTCCTTTGTGGTTTTGTAATAATAATCAAATAAAGAAACAAACTTACAGAACCAAAAACAACATAATGTTAAAGCATTTACTAAAAGACAATTGAAATTTCATTACTTCAAATTCATCTGCATGAAGAATCCATCACACAATTTTCGGATAACAACAACAATAATAGAGACAACGTAGTATTTTAAGTACATGCTAAATTTATAAGCCATAATAAATCTTTGTTTCAACATGTTAGAAGAGTAATATTACTTACCATTTCACAGATGATCAGAAAATCTCTACAATGGTCAGCAGCACTAAAAGGTGCTTCAGTTTGTGTTTTACTTACCATTTCATACCCAAAAAGAAATCAGATCACAAGCATTAGAACAAGCAACCTTGGGGGAGAAAAATTATACACTCCTCAATCACATCTGCTAAAACTCACCAAAATATACTACCGAAAACTGGGACAACCAATTCTGACCAAAAAAAAAAAAAGGCATTTTTCGAAATCCCCTCCATCACCCGACACAGATCGCGTTCATCAACACGTGACAGAGCATGAGGTCGACAAAGTACTGGTGCCCAATCAAACCATCCTTCCACCTCATCTTCAGCGGGGCCCGCCCATAGTGTACCCCATCGTTACATCTGTTATCATAATGCCACGGGTATGTCATGTCGAAATCATCCACAACCTTATCCAGCACCCCATAAGCCCTCATCTTATCCAGCACCACCCCATTAAAAGCCTCCATTTTCGCGGGATTAAACGCCAATTTCCTTGCATACCCTCCAGTGGCCACTGTAGTCCGGTACACAATCTCGGGCCCAACGAGCCCTCTCTCCTTAACCCCTCTCACAACCTCAGCCCAAAAAGCAGCCGCGAAATCTGCCCCTTTCACAAAACCCCGGATATTGGGCCAGAAAACCCCATCATGCAGGCCCGAGTTCATAATAACCGTATCAGGGACCAAATCGCCCGAAAAATAGCCTTTGATCAAATTTCTATACTTAGGGTCGATTAACGAGTTCAGGCCCTGATAATTGCCCGTATCGTTTGGGTGCCCATTGAAAACGCTCGTAATCCGAACCATTTGTGCCCGGTTTGCCGGGTTCGTGATATTTTTATCGAATATTCTCGGCACAGCCTCCACATCATTCACGCCAAGCACGAATTTGAGTAAGTTACGAATCGTGTCACAATGGTTCGAGTCTCCCCACCAGAAAATCCACCTGCCGGAAAGACAATCCCAGGCCTTTTGACCTGAAAACAGCCCAAACGAGCAATGGGCCGAGTAAACCCACCCGTTGCTCTCCAGCAGGCCCAACGGGCCCCAGCACCAGGGCTGCTGGCAGGGGAAATTCGACACCTGGCATCTGTACCGCCCGTCATTCTCGATCGTACAGCTGTCGTTCTTGGCGTGTCGGGTCCACCTGCCCGACCAAATGTCCCTTGAAAAATCGGATTTATTATCGCATTTTTTAATTTCGGGCAGGCGGGATTTGGATGTCCGGAATCTGATTGGGACCACACGGAGAGTTCGGTCGAAGGCAAAACGCGCGGGAGAGAATTTCAGGCCTTCGTAGCTTCGGAATAGAAGGATTATGGTGAGATTGTATTCTCCCGGGAAGTTCGGGTGGATTTGGAGGGAAAATGTGTAGGTCCCGTTTCCTAAATCTTTGATCGGTGGCCGGGACTTCCATTTTTCGCCCGAGAGGTCGATTTCGAAATAGTCGCCTCCCAAACAATGTGGGGAGCCTAAATCGTCCAGAGCCTGGAAAGTGAACTCGTGCGTGTTTCCTGTTGAGAGCTCGATTTTTCTGTTTTCGCTGTCGATTTTGGGGATTCGTATGTCGACGGTTTTCGAGTCTCGGCAATGGTTGCCGCCTGGGGTCAGCCATTTCGCAAGGAGACTGGACGAGTAGTTTGGCTCGAGATTGACCGAGACCCAGGGGACAATGAAGGTCGAATTGGACAGAACCTGAGGGATGGAACTGGAGGCGTTCTGGGGAGGTGGGGTAAAACTGAGATCAAGATTGACATGGGTATTGGATGAATTTTGGTGGGTTTGGCTGGAAATTGCCTGCTGAGGTTCTTCCAATTGCGGAGGCTTGGTAAAGTTTGGATCTTTATGGGGTTGCGAGGAAATCTGAGGGTTGTTGAGATAAAAGATGACGAAATCCTTTGGCAGATTTTCCATATTTAACCCATCAAACCCCCAGAAAATCAGAACAGCAAGAAACGCGCCAATCGTTAGGATTTTGAACCACCAATGGACCATGGGGTTTGACCTCACAATCCATGCTAGTTTTGCAGCTTTCTCGGGGACCTTGTAAGAAGACATGCTGGACCAAGAAATTAAATGGCAATCCTTTTTTTACCTAAAAAATGGTGGCAATAATGAACCTAGAATCGATGAGAAATTGGAATTGCAGACAAGAATACGAAAAAAAGTGCTACCGAAAACTACAAATCTTGAAATATGCGGAGTATATTAAATTAACAAGTGGCTGACAGAAAACATTCCCCAGCAAATGTATATTTTTAAGTTTCTTGAAGAAAGAAAACAAGAAGAGAATTACCTGATTCCTCAATTTTGTTTCACAGTTACAAAAATCTCAACGTTTTTGTCAACGCAGGTGGAAGAATTTCCTCTCCTCTCTATCATGCGAAATATATGGTCATGAAAATATGATAATGTATGAGATAGCTATTTGTAGAGCCGTAGATGTCAAGGAGAATAATGTGAGAAGATAAACTAATGTAGTGTTGGAGGATGATGGGATTTAAGAGGCTTATACAAAGATTTAACTCATTTAAGTAATAATAATAATCATTTAATATAGGTGAGAGAGAGAGAGAGAGATGGATGTACAGTTGTACTTGTTCGGAGACCATTATTGAAGACGGGAAACATTTTTATTTATTTATTTATTTATTTTGAAGTATAAATTATAAACAGCCTCTCAAATGAGTCGGGTGGTTTATTTTTATAAAACATATAAAAAATAACTGGGCAAAAATAAAAAAATAAAAAATTATGGACAAAAATAAAAAGTACGTATTCTTAGAATACGTTTTTGTAATTAAAATTTTTTAATAAAATGTATTCTCGTAATACGTTTTATAATTATATTTGTAAAATGTAAAAAAAAATATTTTTGAAGAAAGTCGAAGTTAAATAAAAAATAATAATTATAACACGTATTTCGGTAATACATTTTTTGAAAACCGTAAATCAATTTTGGGGAATATAAAACGTATTTTGGAAATACGTTGTATATTTCTAAAATTTAATAAAAAAAGACTATTATATTCATATTATATTATATTACATTTAATAAAAAATAAATATAAATAAAAAACGTATTTTAAGAACGTATTTTAAGAATATGTTTTATAAAAAAAAAATATAAAAACGTATTGTAAGAATACGTTTATTAATGAAATATAAATCTCAGATCAGATCGGGTAGCTCCACTCATTCAGAGGAAACACAAACACATAGACTGCGCAAATCTTTCTTTTCTTCTTCTTCGTCTGCAACTACAAATCCGTTTCACCTTAAAAAAAAAAGTTTCAACCCTCAATCGCTACGGAGAAAAGGTTAGTTGTTATTTTAATTTAATGTAATCACATTTTTTTGTTGTTTATGAATGTGTAATAAATATTGTTGGGTTAATGAGTATTGTTTAGAAAAGATTGATTTTTGATTTAATAATTGTGTTAAATGATTATACTTTGTTCTTGGACGATGGTTTTTTGGTGTATGTTGAAATTTTTTTCGAAATATGAATGAATTCTATGTTATTGTTGGATTATGAGTATTAGGATTTCAGAGGATTATTTGATAAAATAAATTGAGAATATATTTTTTGGTTGGATTAAAAAAATGGGTTTTAAATTTAGAATGGTAAAAGAATAATTTTTGGGTGTTGGATTAGACATTCTGTGTTGTTGTAATTGAGAAGAATTGAAAGTGTTTTTTTGCAATAGGTAGAAATGGCGTATTACGGTCTATACTTTGTTAATTTGTATTGGCGATGTGTGAAGGAAATGTTAAGTAATTTTGTTTCATTTAAAGATCATCCGGATGGTTCATTTGTTATTCCGGGGAGGATATCTTATTTTTTTTTTTCCCCCGAAACTATAGGGATATTATATCACTACAAACACGGGAACAAAATGTTCGAATACAAAGGGCAACCGCCCGACTCACCCACTAACTGAAAATGAGAGGACACGCACGCAGGCGGCCTAGAGACTCGACCAAACACATTGTAGCTAAGGCAAGATCACCGAGCCCTTAGTCTACATAATCTAACCTGTAAACAATAAGCCAGCTACTGTCACGAAAGACCTAGCCAGTACACTGCCTAACAGAAACCAAACACAGCAAACTCCCAACACAAGCAAAAACCCGAAACAGACCACAAATAAAAACTAATACAGCTGGATACTAATAATCAAGAAAAAACAAAGGAAAACATAAAGCGGCGCTACACCCAACATTATCACACATAGCCAGAAGCTGCTTATCCCGGACCTGCTAAGACCTCGGAATCTTTGAAAATTCCAGCCATTCTCGAATGGCATTTTTAATGAGCACCTGTTCGGGCATTGATTCTTGCGTGAATAGCCACATGTTGCGTGTTTTCCACAACCACCATAACAGGTAGGTGGAAAGTTGAATCCGATCTTCATGAATTGCGGCCTTCCCAGTTGAGCATACGTGAGTCCACCATTCTTTGAAATGACATTGCTCAATATTAATTCCATCCCACTCGACCGGGCTCATCTGCCATATTCTTGATGCTCTAGGACAGAGGAAACAGACGTGTTCAATTGTTTCAGCATCCCCACCACATGTTTGGCAGATGTAGTCAATATCCAACCCTCTCTTCCTCAAATTGATTTTGACAGGTAAGGTGCCAGAGCAACATTTCCAAATGAAATATTTAATGTTGTTCTTGACCTTCAATTTCCATAACCTGTTCTTAGCCATTTCTCCCTGCACATCTCTGTTGCTGCCTTCCGGAATATCCATAGCCAACATTTTCTGTTCCATTAAATATGCATAAGAGGCTGCTACAGAGAACCTGCCTTCCTTGTCCAACTTCTAGCTCCATGTGTCCTCCAAGTTGGGATTCAATATTTTAATCTGGAGGATTGCTTAACTGTCCAGGGTGCAAAAGACTTGTTTGATAAGCCATTCATTCCATCTAGTCCCCTCCTCATTCATTAAATCTTTCACCCATATCGAATGTCCCCTAGCAATCTCCAGAAGGCCTGGTTTCTGATTTGCCAATGTTGGAATCGAAACGACATCTTCGATTTTAGTGTTCTTTCCATTTCTTATCACCACTTGGAGTCCCTTAGCAAATAGAGGAATCACTTTTTGCCAACTTCTCCAGAGCCAAGATGCATTGTGCTTATTTTCAGCTTCCAAAAGGGTGGATTGTGGAAAGTATTTACTCTTCAAGACTCTGCTAACCAACAACTCTGGTTGTGTTGTTACCCTCCACAATTGCTTACAAATGAGAGCTTCATTGAACAAAGAGATACCCTGAAATCCTAACCTGTCTTTGCATTTGGGCAGTGTCAAATGGCTCCATTTCTTCCAATGTATACTGTTATTTCCCCCCTCACCTGTTTTCACTAAAAGTCCGCACATAGTCAAGTTATGTCCTTGCAGATAGCTACCGGCAGCTTGAAATAGGTCATTGCATACACGGGCAGTGCATTTATGATATCCATTATCATCACTTCTTTGCCTGCCACAGACAACCACCTATTTTTCCAGCTCAACAGTCGGGACCTCACCTTGTCAATAATGTAAGAAAAAGTTTCGATCTTAGATCGACCAAATCCTAGCGGGAGCCCGAGGTACCTTGTAGATGAGTGTCTGCTTATCCCTCGAAAAAGTCTACAAATCGCCAACTGGATATGGTCCGGAGTATTTCTACTAAAAAATATGGCCGACTTTTCTAGATTCACCTGTTGACCCATGAAAAGCCTGTATTTATCCATGATTTGTAGAATAGAAGCAACTTGGTCGGGGCGGCCTTACTAAAAAGCAAAGAGTCGTCAGTGAACAGTAAGTGCGATATAGTAGGCCCCCCTTGATTTATCCTCAAACCCGAGTATTGGTTCCACATGACTGCATCAGTTATAATCGCCGAAAAGACTTCTGAGACAATCAGAATAGCGAGAGTGGATCTCCTTGGCATAAACAACACGTCGGTTTGAAAAAACCTGCACTTTGCCGTTTAGGTTGAAGGAGAAGGATGTAGAACAGATACAAGCCATAATGAGATTAATGAATCTGAGGTTGAAACCCATCGTAGTCATAATGCGCTGGATGAAAGGCCATTCCACCCGGTCGTAGGCCTTCATCATGTCGAGTTTCAAGGCCATAAGTAAATTCTTGCCAGAATGAAGTCGGTTGAGAAAGTGAAATGTCTCATGTGCGAGTATAACATTGTCCATAATTTGACGCCCTTGGACAAAAGCTACTTGGAAGTTGTTTATACTGTTGTGCAAACTGTTCCTGAGCCTTGTTGCTAGAATCTTGGACACAATTTTGTAGAAAATAGAGCATAAACTTATCGGGCGATATTGATTCAGCATCTCTGGTGATTCGACTTTGGGAATTAATGTAATCACCGTTTGGTTCCAATATTGCAGCATATTACCAGATAGAAAGAAGCTCTTGACTGCTTTAATTAGATCATCTTTGAGTAAATCCCAGAATTTCTGATAGAACAGGGCCGTCATCCCGTCTTCCCCTGGCGCTTTCTCCGGATGGATTGAAAACAACGCTTCTTTGATTTCTTTCTCCTCAACCATGGTTTCAAGCTCAGCATTCATCTCCGATGTTATGGATACTGGGATATTTTCTAATAGACCATCTGCTTCTGTGGACCCTTCTGAAGTAAACAAGTTGTTGTAGAAATGGGTCACATGATCTGTAATTTTTTGCGGAGTCTGTAAGATTTGATTATCTGGTGAAATCAATCTGGTGATCGCGTTCATCCTGCGTCTTTGCGCCGTAATCACATGAAAGAACCGCGTATTCCTGTCGCCCTCACGAAGCCACATATTTCTCGATTTCTGCTGCCAATGAATTTCTTCTTGGGCATGTAACTCTTCGAGTTCTCTTCTGATGTGTTATTTTTCTTCCCAGAACATATCTCCGGTTTGAGATTTCAGCTTTGTCATTCTCGAGTTTAGATGCATAATTTTGGTTTGATTGAGCGATCTGAATTTGGAGCTCCATTTTAAAAGAGCCACCCTTGTCTGCTTTACTTTCTCCTTTACTATGAACATGGGAGTTCCCGTTCC